TTATTTTCATCAATTTATAAGCTCTCGAACATTTTATAATATATTTTTAAGAACCTATTAACTTAGCCAAACTGGCTTTTAGTGAAAGGTTTTTGTGTAAGATATACAAAGTGATATTAGACTCTTTAGAATAATATTGAGAAAAAGACAAAATAGTTTCAAAAACAAATGACATCTTGATATATTTGAAAGTGACGCAATTTTAAAGGGGTTTTTGTGCATAAGTCTCCAACCAAACATCTTTATTATTCTAGGTTTATGGATTATATGTCTTTAACCAATAAGCCCATCCCTTTAGGGCTCGTTCGGTTACCGCTATAAGGTTCTACTGACTAAATAGTAGGGCATAATAGCATGTCCGGTTGGTAAGATTCACACTTTTTCAAACCCGCTACTAAAATCAAAGCCCGCTATTAAATGCTACTATTTCTTTAAATTAGTAGCACCCCTCCCCCTGAGATTAATTTAATAGGGGGTGATTAAAAAGGAAAAAGACAATTTTATCCTTAAAATCATATTTTATTATTGTAAACTAAGTGGTTTTATAGACAATTCATATATAATAACCGATTTTAACAAATTTAATAGAAAATCTAATCTAAGAAACCGAACATGCTACTAACTAAATAATTAATTAGTCAGTAGGGAGTTAATCCAATCTCATGTAATCCAATCTAATCCAATATAGGTAACCGAACGAGCCCTTAATATTTATTATAAATAAAGGAAACATTCATGTATATGTCAATATTACCCCCAATCCATTATACCCAATTCTTAATTGTAACCTCAATTTAATCATTTTTGTCCACAAAAATCCAATTTTGACCACAAAAATTCAATTTTGACTTCTTTTTTTTTTCAAAAACTTTTTTATTTTCAAAAAAAAAAAATTTGCCACCGTATTCCGGCGTTGACTTTTCGATTTTTTTATATTTTTTTTCTTCCGGATTTTTTCGCTGGTTTCCGGCGTTGATTTTTTTTAGTGTTTTTTTAAGTTTTTTTTTCTTTTTTGTTGTTAAATTTTTTTACGTCCGCCGCTAAACGTTGACCGTAATTGTGCTGTCACTGACAGTAAATTAACGTAATTATACTGTCAATGACTGTTAATTAACGTAATTGTACTGTCGTTGACAATACATTTATGTAATTGTTCTGCCGTTGACAGTAAATTAACGTAATATTATTATTTTTTATTTTTTGTTATTTTTTTTATTTTGTTTGATTTGTTGACAAGTCAACGTAATTTATATTACTGTCGTGGACAGTAAAATAACTGTAAACACAATAATATTACTGTCAGCAACATCAATATTATTATTTTTTTGGGTTTTTTGTTTTGTTTGATTTATTCACGGAGTAACGTAATAATATTACTGTCTATTATTGTAATATTACTGTAAACACAATAATATTACTGTGGTTCACGGTAATATTATTGTTGTTATAGTAATATTGTTGTCAACCACATTAATATTATTATTTTGTTTGGATTTTTTTGTTTGTTTGAGTTATTCACGGAGTAACGTAATAATATTATTGTCTATTATTGTAATATTACTGTGGTTGACGGTAATATTACTGTTGTTATAGTAATATTACTGTCACTCACAGTAATATTAATTGTTTTGGTTTTTTATTATGTTTACATTTGTTGAACGGTCAACATAGTAATATTACTCTATTACACAATAATAATAATGAGTTTTGTTGTGTTAATATTATTGTGCTAGAGATTAATATAACAATATTACTGTGTTAAACTGTAGTTTAGTTAATTTTACTGTATTTAACAGTAATATAGTTAATATTACTGTCAATCACAGCAATATTGCTGTGTAAACGAAAAAAAAAAAGTTACAGAAAGAAAGAAAAGAAAAAAAAATCGAAAAAGTCAAAGCCGGAGACCGGCATTGACCGCCGGTCAACGCCGGAAACCGGCGAAAAAATCCGAAAAAAAAAAATTGAAAAGTCAACATCGGAATCCGGCGGGAAAAAAAAAATTTGAAAAAAAAAATTGGGTCAAAATTGAATAATATGTGAAATTTGGGGTCAAATTGAGGTTAAATTAAGTTAAGGATGAAATTATAGCATATTAAAGTATGAAGGGTTATTTTAGTCCTTTACAAAAATCTGGACCATGTTTGGACTTATTGGTAAATGAGTTTTTTGTCTGGATCTCTTTATGAATAAGTACCCATTGATGGGCTTATTTGTAATGACCCCTATTTTAAAAGGTAAATGACAAATATGCTCATGACAAGAGCATTTAATTAAAAAATGGACATTCAATTTTTTTGTTCTGCAAATAAATCCATCTTATTCAAACTTATTTGAAAATAAAAAAAAACTCTTTTATATATATCAAATTATTCCCAACTCCTAGGAACCTCAATTCAACTCAAATTTCATGATTTACATCCCAATTTATCCCAATTTCACCAATTAACCAATTTTGACCGTCACCGCCGGTCAGTCGTCATTGACCACCGGTCTCCGGCGTTGCCTTTTTTTTTTTTTTTTTTCTAAAACCATTTTTTTCCTTAAAAAATTATTTTCATTAATATTATTGTATTGGCTTGCAATATTACTGTCTCAATTATAGTAATTTAACTGTACTAATTAATTTTATCGTTTTGGCCTGCAATTTTGTTGTCTTCGACCTTAATATTATTGTTTCATGCAGTAATATTACTGTTTGAGACAGTAATAATAGTAATATTACTGTTCGGGACGGTAATATTATTAATATTAATAATGTTTTGACATTCAATATTACTATCTCAGACAATAATTTTGTTGTTAACACAGTAATTTAGAGAGAAAAAAACTTTCAAAAAAAAGAAGTCACCCGGAGACCGGCGGTCAACTGGCCGGAAAAAAATTCCAAAATAAAAAATAAAATAAATTCAACGCTGGAATCTAACCGAAAAAAAACATTTTTCTAAAAATATATTTTTTCAAAAATTTATGAAAATGGAGGTTAATGAGATATATTTGTTCCAATATGAGGTTAATGTGCAATATTGCTGAATTTAGAGTATAATGGATGGACGTGATAAAAATTATATTATGAGAAGTATTTTAGACAAAAGACATGGGAAAGACATGAGAATGAGTTTATTTGCAATACTATTTTTTATCTGAATCTATATATATTTAAGTCCCTTGTCATGGGGTTATTTGTCGTTTTCCGTATTTTAAACAACTAACAAAATCTTAGATCTCATAAAACTGATAAACTTATAACTTATTGTTTTTAAGATGTTAAATAAAATTGTTCATCTCTATACTTAAAAAGTAAAATTGTTCATCTCTATACTTAAAAAGTAAAATTGTTCATCTCTATTCTTGACATTTGTCAAATAAAATCGATGACATGGGAAACGTAAGCTCAAGTAAACTCATAACTATGAACAATGAAGCTCGATTGTATATATTGGGATTCAAGCTACTAATACAAATATATTCTACCCACGACAGAAAAATTCACATGAAACATTAAAGTTTGTTTGTACAAACGATATTAAAAAAAACAACTAATTAATTATTGAGAATTAAAACATTAGACTCAGGCATGTTCTTGAGAATTGGGGGTTCAATGCGAGATTTAAAGTAATTAAGAGGTCTCTATTTGATGAACCATTTTTTTTTATCAAAAGCATGTTTCAAAATTGAGTGTACTAAAAAAATATAAATAATATTTTTCTAAAAGTGATGAAATAAAAGATTATGGGGCTTCGGAGGCAGTGCCCCCGAAATATTTTTTGAAATGTATGAATATAAAATAACTAAAAATATGGAAAATATTCAAAATTAATAGGACAATTTGCTGGTTCACTTCCTCCTGTGACGTATAATCTCTATAGCAAATAGTCTTCATAAATATTTATAAAATTGAATACACTAATGAATATTGATTCTTATTTTAGAATAAAAATAAGTAATTAAGTCATTATATTTCTAATATTTAGGGGCACTGTAAGAAAATTGCAAAAATATCTTTTTATCATTTAGTTTAAATTTATTTTAGAACCGATGTTCCAAAATATTATGAATAATTTTTTTTAAAAATAAGTACTAATAATATATAAAATGTAAAATAATTTGGGAGCCCTAAATTTTCGTAAAAATTTTGGGGCACTAGTCGGCCGTCTACTTCGCCTCTCCTCAGAACCAGCTCTTAGACTTAAGTTATAAGTAATAATGCTATTTTTTGGGGGAAGAACTTATCGTTCTTTTGACTTTGGGATATTAGTAAGGGATCAATTGTTTACTCCAAAAGTTTATATTGATTTCAAATCCGAAAAACTAATACCTTAGTTCTTGGTTTTCATTTCATATGTATAATAATTTAAAAATATTTCCTCAAAAAAAAAAAAATTAAAAATATAAAATACAAAGAAAAAGTGAAATACCACTCGAAAATATCATTAAAATTTAAAAGTAAAGAAATATTGTTATATGTTGATCAATTGGTTAAATCTCACAAGAAATTATGGTACATTTTTCTAGGAGATGTGGAATTCGAGATGCATTTTACCGATTCCAAAATTTGATGGTGCAAGTTGACAATTAAATTTATTTTTGAGGTGCAAAACCCAGATATATACACTTGCAAATTGCAATTTGTTTTTAAGAAACTAATAAATTTTCTTTTTTCTTTCTAACTAAGTTTGCATGATATTTATTTTGTTCGAAAATATAACGGGAGTTCGTAAGATTACAAGAATCGAGGCCTGAAATTGGGAAATAGTGTGACGTGGCAAGCTCGGAACCAGTTATAACTGACAACAAAGAGGCGCAGTATTGGAAGATAACTTTGGCCGACAACTCGACAGGCCTTTGATTTGTGGCAGCGATATCCCTCTCATTCCTCACCGTACACGTGTCCTCCCACACAAACTGTACGGTCACGTCATGGTCCTACGATCCACACACACCCAAATATTTCCTCCTCTGGAAATTACATCCGTCTCCCTAAGCACACGCGAATGCACCCAGGGCATATTTGGAATTTCATGCACGCGTGGCTATCACTGTCATTTGGCCTGTTGCGCGGGGGCAGTTATGTCATTTGGACTCATCCCCATTCGTTTTAATCATGGCAGATGATGTAGAAATTCTTCGTTTGGAAGGTTTTGCTGAGGATATTTGTTTCTTAGAGAGAGAAAGTGAAGAGAGGTGAGAGAAAGACTAGTTTTCATTAATTTCGGCAAATGCAAGATATACACGCCTTCGGCGGTGGAGCTGCCACCGGCGGCGGCGGCGGAGAGAGTTTTTTCGGCGGCGGAGACAGGAGGCTGCGGCCGCACAGCCACCCCAACAACCAGGTGTTGAAGTGCCCCCGCTGTGAATCGATCAACACTAAATTCTGTTACTACAATAACTACAACCTCTCTCAGCCCCGCCACTTCTGCAAGAGCTGCCGCCGCTACTGGACCAAAGGCGGCGTCCTCCGCAACGTTCCGGTCGGCGGAGGCTGCCGCAAAGCCAAGCGTTCGAAGCAGAAAAGCAGCGCCGCCGCCTACCCCGTCGACGCGCCGGGAGATCGGAGTCCGAACGCTCAGAGCTCGAGCAGTGAGAGCTCCAGCCTCACCGCCGCCGCCGCCGCAACACCTACCTCCACCGCCAAGGCCGCGGCGGAAGAAGGCTCGCCGCCGAATAATAAGACGACGAAACCTACCCCGCCCGACAATTACCCTGATTCAATGTTCTTCAACGGAAACCCCAACTTCGATCATCAGTCGGCGCCGGAGGGGCAGATCTTCGCGGCGGATGTCGGCAGCTTCACGAGCCTGATGGAATCATCATCGACGGAGATGCTGGGGTTTGGCATGGCAGATGTTACAACGACGCCGTACGAGCGGGTGCATCAGGAAAATCAAACTCCGGCACCGAACAATTCTGGCTTGGAAATGACAGCGACAGGAGTAGGTATGAACAACGATGGGCTAGCGGCGGCGCTAGACTGGGGCGGCGGAGATCAAGGGATGTTTAATCTAACGGCTGCCGTGGATCCTGCTTATTGGAGCCAATCTCACTGGAATGATCAATCCCTTAATTACCTTCTTTAGTCATCCAAATCTCACTTCTTTTAACCATGGTCATATTTTTCGATATATGTTTTCTTCTTTAATTGTAAATTTAGATAAATTTCTCTATATTTTCTTTTTTTTAATTGGGTGATTTTTGGTGGTTGTGTGACATATAGATCACTAACTTCAATTTGGGTTTTTTTATTTTTTGTTTTTTGTTTTTTCAATTAAGTTGGTGTAGTTTCTGGTTTTAGTTTGGAACTTACTCCTATCATGTAACCTATTGTTGTATTTGGGGATTTTTATCGACTTGCAAAATCTATAATTTCTTGAATTTTGGTTTAATTGCTTCAGATTTTGTTAGATGTGGTTACTTTATTGTTCCAACATACAGAAATTATGTACTAAGTAGTAATGGTAAATTATCGTACGTATAGAAATATTTTGTTACCTGTTGGAACTTGGGATATAGTTATTTTTCTTTTATTTATGTTGTATTTACAGTGTTTTATTTGCAGTATTAGTTTTACTAAAGCATAGATAAAATTGTTACTACATTTACACTAAAAAGGATAAACGCGTTTGTAATAGGAATAAGTAAGAATAGCATGTTTAGTTGCTTTCATGTGTTGGTTATATAAAGCCAGGTCATTATAATTGTTGTAACTAACTTCATTATTTTTTAATTGAAAGAATTTGTTTCTTTTTCTTGTAATCTAGCTTTTCTTCTTTCCTATTCCATAGAGTTTTTCCTCTGAAAAACTCTACAATTAACAGGGAGGTGGATTTCCAGAAATTACAAATTGACCCTGTTGATTTATATGCCTATAGAAATCAGTTGATCTAAGTTGTAACAGTTAAGTTGTAGAAACAGTATTCAGTTACAACTATAAATCTTGTGTTGTCACAGTTATACTCTACTTAAAGTAAATAAACAAAACACAAGAATTAATGTGGTTCAGACACAATTGTGCCCTACATCCACGTGGACCTGCAAACACGATTTCACTAGTTCAGATTTACAGTGTACATTAATAGGACTTATTAAAAACACTAAAGACTCCCTCTTTATGTAATATGCCGTTCTTGTACACAACTCGAACTTCGTGTTTCTTCCAACAGCAGCTCCACACCGCGTGCCTAGAACTCCTTTCTGGCCTGAACTCCCTTCAGTGACGCGGTTGATCTCCCAAGAGATCTATACAGCCAATCTGTATATGTTGACACATCCAACGATGGCACAGTTCTGTTCAGCAGAACGTTTCAGCGATTCATCAAAGCAACGGAGTGATTTTTCTCCCAAAAAAGTGTCACGGTCTTTGTGAGGTGAGGAGCCTTATATAGGCGTGAGATGGGCCTCCAAAGACCTGTCTTCCAAAGGAATCGAATAACTAGGGAACAGAATCCTAGTCAATATCTAGTTCTAATCTAGATAACCATAAAAGATTCCTAACAAGAATAAAGTACTAGGAAATAAATCTAAGTCCTAAAGTATTACAAAGGTAGGACTCTAAATTTCCAAAATAAACATGGGAACAAATCTTTAGCCAATCTTTACTTCCCAAGTGAGGCGGATTTCTTCCTTCGTGGAAATCCGGTGCCAACAATCTCCCCCTTTGGCATAGATTTGGTCAGAACCCATGTTTACCAAGAACTCCCCCTGCAGATAAGACGGAAAGAGAAAAGACTCCCCCTGCATCACAGACTGTTAGCACTCCCCCTGCATCACAGACTGTTAGCACATAATATCACATACTGTTAGCACAATAGCAGTGCTACTTAAGTATTTCCTGCAGTGAGACAAATAAGAGAGAGATATATAATCACTCCAAAATTAAATCAAAAATAGTTATCAATGCAGATAAAGAGATAACACATAGAGTCAAAGATGCAAAAAGAAAACAATACTAAGCTATTACAGACCAAAAGTAATAGCAGATAGTTTTTAAGAGAAAAAAAAATAAAAACGAGAAACACAATTCTCTGCTTTAGTAACTAAAGCCAGAGAACAAATCATCATCATCACGAGAGCTGGGCTGTGGAGGAGTGAGGAGGGATGCCTGTTTTTTGCCTTTATCTTTGGTCTTGGTGGAAGCCGCAGGAGTTGGAGTTGTTGCGACTCCCCCTTTCTGACCAGAATGTGCCAAAGTCCTAAGCAGCTGATCTTGAATAGAGGCAAACCCTTGAGCTAGCTGAGCCTGGATAGACTCCTGAAAACGAGTGAGCTCATCCTTGGTGACCACATCAACTGGCGGCGGAATAGACGCAGCTACAATGGGAACAGAGGCAGCCACTATAGGAGCCTTCTTCACACGTGGGACCGTCTGAACAACAGTAGGATCGACAGGAGGCAGATCAGCAAAATGTTCAGAAAGGACCTTACCGTGGATAGTGATTGGACGGCCAGGAGGGTCCAGTAGAGTGGCATCACGAGTGGGCAGGCCTTGTTTGATCAGAAGCTGGTAGATCAGAGAAGGAAACGGCAGATGCTCACGCTCGGTGCGGGAATTGGCTAAGGCACCAATCTGAGTGAAAATTAATTCACCAATATTGATCTTGAGGTCGTGAGTGATGCACCATAAAAACTCAGCTTGGGTGGGATTGAGAGTAGCATTGTGAGTAGTGGGAAACCAGTTGGAAATGCCTATTTTAAAGAGGACTGAGTACAGCTGAGTCAGCTTAGACACATGAAAAACCGACTTTGGACCAGGCCATTTTTTCAGAACTTTGGCAGTGAGGACAGAGGCCAGAGTGTCTTTGGAAACAGAGGGTTTGGAAGAAACCTCGTTTGGACATTTATAAAACTCATTAATCAAGGCAGGTGTCACAGAATAGAAAGACCCCCTCACATACACTTTCCCATACCCACGAGACCCCACAACAGAAAAGCGATCAGAAAGATTGGCATAGAACAATAACAGATCGTTCAAAAGGTTGTGCACTCACAATAGTGCCAAGCAACCCTTGAGTTTTTAGAAGACGGAAAATCCCAGACAAAGGTAAGACAGACCTAGACAAAACACGCTCAGGAGAGCAGGCACGCTTACTCATACTATCCCAATTTTCTTTAGCAAGAGCGGAATAGAAGAGAGGAGAGAAACAGTTACCAGCAGAGAGTTGAGAGCCCACAGATGAATCAGAGGATTCAGAACGCAAAGGGTCATCCTCAGGAATAGGCTCAGAAGAAGAGGATTGTTGACCTTCAGACACGGAGGCAGGAGAGGAGGCAGATGGGCCTTCGTGTTTTCGATTGGAGCGGCGGAGTTGAACAGGAAACTCAACACTGCGGGGGGCAACCTCTGGATCTGAGGGCAGATCATCTTGTGGAGTTCCAGAGAGGCTATCACCGTCAAGAACAGCCACGCCGGTGTCGACAGGGTCAGGCACATCACTTGTCTTGAGACTTGGTGATGGTGAAGCCACAGGAGAAGGGACGGGGTCCAGATCTGTGGTGACGGGAACAGGAGAGATTTCCACAACAGTAGGGCGGACTTTCTTTGAAGATTTTCTGGACTTCTTCTCAGCAGGCGAGGCAGATGGAGTGTGGCGTCGTTTCTTGGAGCCCTCAGCAGATCGATTCTTGCCCATGGTGAATAGTGAATACAGAGAAAAACAAGAAAATAGAAAAGGAACGGCGGAAGAAAAGAAGAGAAAGAATAAAGTGTGAGAAGCAAACCCTAAAAGAGGCGGATATTTAAAGCACAGGGACCGAGAAAATAGGCAGAAAAAGAGAGGACTCTTCGGATACTGGATATTTTCAAATCAGAATAAGATCCCACAAAATCCGCCACCAATAACAAGCAAGATATTCTCCACACGAAACATCAAACAATAAAGAAGGCAGATGACATGGCTATAGCCACGTGGCCAGAGACAACTAGAGCCAAAAATTCACAAAGCCCAAAGATAAAAAAAAATTTAAAAGAAAGAAAAAAAACTTTTTAAGGAAAAGAAAATCAAGAAGATCACAAGATTAAAAGTTGAGGGCTTGGTTTTCATGAATTAATTAGATAATCTTAAAGAGAATCACAATAGAAGGCCACCTAGCAAACTCTTGGATGCACGATATAACTATAACCCCATGACCATACTCAAGAAACCATAATTTAGGTAAATTTTAAGAGTTATGAATGCATATGCGATTAGCACAGCAATTCGATCGTGGACTTCAAGGAGAATTTCCTAATATATGCTTGAATATCATCCCAACCCCTCCTTTTTTTTTTTTTTTTTTTTTTTTTTTTTTGAGTTCGAACTAATTTTTCTTCTCCTCCCTTTTTTTTGTTGATATGATGTTCAAGCAAACATTAGGAGGGCAACTTCCTTAAGAATCCACATAGCTTTTAAATAGAAGTCAGAGATGCATATGCGGTAGCATAATTCTCCCAATAGAGGTATGATCTTTGAGATGAATGAGGTCATAGTCATTGATCACTCCCGATAGAGGGGGCAGCACACTTCTATCATGGTTATCTGTGGAAACAAAAATTAATTCACCAAAACTAACACACAAACAATTAGTCAAAATGAACCTCCAATCATTCCTAGTCCAAAAACAGTGATGTCACATTTGTAGGTGACACATATAATGTCCGATTAAAAAATTCAAGTGCAATCCGGACACAAACTTTAATTGCACGTATCATAGAAAATTCAGTTTTGCACATGGCAAATCCCAAGCGCTTTACGCAAGGAATCAAACCTAAGGAAATCGAGGGGCTTTGTAAAAATATCAGCTAATTGATTGTCTGTGGACACATACTCTATAGTCACACGTTTCTGCTCAACTAATTGCCTGATGAAATGGTGTCGAAGATCTATGTGTTTGGTTCTAGAATGCTGGACAGGATTTTTTGAGATATTTATGGCACTTTCATTATCGCAGAATATATGAACGAGTTTTTCATGAAAGCCATAGTCATTCAACATATGTTGCATCCAAAGAAGTTGAGTGCAACAACTACCTGCAGCTATGTACTCAGATTCAGCTGTTGATAAAGAGATGCAGTTTTGTTTCTTACTGTACCAAGATACTAGGTTGTTTCCCATGTAGAAACAGCCTCCAGTAGTACTTTTTCTGTCATCCACATCTCCTGCCCAGTCAGCATCACTGTATCCTGCAAGACAAGTATTAGTATCTTTGGAGTACCATATTCCTAGTTCAAGAGTTCCACTCACGTATCGTATGATGCGTTTGACTGCACTTAAGTGACTTTCTTTAGGATTTGATTGGTACCTAGCACATACTCCTACACTGAAACAGATGTCAGGTCAACTGGCAGTAAGATAAAGTAAACTTCCAATCATACTCCTGTATAATGTGGGATCCACGTCTGTGCCCTCACAGTCGCGTCCCAACTTTTCAGTAGGACTCATCGGAGTTTTTAGAGGTTTTGCATTATCTAACCCAAATTTACTTACCAGATTTTTGGCATACTTGCTTTGTGTGATGAAAATTCCATCCTTCATCTGCTTTACCTGCAATCCAAGAAAGTAAGTTAGCTCTCCAACCATACTCATTTCAAATTCGTTTGACATTTGAGAGATAAACTCATCTTTCTTGTGGTCAGAAGTAGACCCAAAAACAATATCGTCCACATAGATTTGAGCCAAAAGGATTTCGTTTTTAAAATTTTTGACAAATAGTGTTTTATCTACCCCACCTCTTCTATATCCTTTTTCAACTAGAAAGGTCGTAAGTCGCTCATACCAAGCCCTAGGGGCTTGTTTGAGACCGTATAGGGCCTTTTTAAGTTTATAGACATGTTGAGGTTTGAGAGGATCTTGAAAACCTTTTGGTTGTTCGACATACACTTCTTCATTTAAGAGACCATTTAAATACGCACTTTTTACATCCATTTGGAAGAGTTTAAACTTTAAAGCACAAGCAACTGAGAGTAAAAGACGTATTGACTCAAGACGAGCTACCGGAGCGAATGTTTCGTCAAAATCTACTCCTTCAATTTGGGTGTACCCTTGAGCAACAAGACGAGCTTTGTTGCGAGTTATATTACCAAGTTCGTCCGTTTTGTTTTTGAACACCCATTTTGTACCTATAACGTTTACCTGGTCGGGTCGTGGAACAAGTTCCCACACTTCATGTCGAGTGAACTGCTCAAGTTCCTCTTGCATAGCTTGTACCCAATACTCATCAAGAATTGCTTCTTTGATGTTTTTTGGTTCTATAGTAGAAGTATAGCAAACATACCTGACCATTTCTTGGTAATCAACTTTGGGCTTATTTCGAGTTTTCATACCTTCATCAAATTCTCCTATCACCTGTTCAGAAGGATGATTTTTTACAACTCGTTTTGATGGTCTTTTTCTTTCTTATGTGCTTTCCTTCGCTGCTGGCACGCCTTCTGTGCTTTCCTTCACTGCCGTCACTTCCTCTGTGCTGACGCCTGGCGTTTGTACTGGTACAATGGTTTTTCCAGGATTAGCGTCTTCCTCATCCATTTCTGCAGATAAAACTTCGTTAAATGTTACATTAATGGATTCCATAACAGTCATTGTACGTTCATTATAAACGCGATATGCCCTGCTGTTTAAAGAGTAACCAAGAAAGGTACCTTTGTCTCCTCTTGCAGAGAACTTACCGAGTTGTTCTCTATCGTTCAGGATGTAACATTCACACCCAAAGACATGAAAGTAACTTAAGTTAGGCTTCTTACCTTTCCATACTTCATATGGAGTTTTCTTGGTACCTGGTCTGAGGTGTACACGGTTTATGGTGTAGCAGGCAGTGCTCATAGCTTCAGCCCAGAACTTTGTGGCCACTCTTGCTGAGATGAGCATTACGCGAGTCATTTCTTGGAGAGTTCTGTTCTTTCTTTCTACCACACCATTCTGCTGTGGTGTCTTTGGTGCTGAGAATTCGTGGGAGATACCGTGTTTATCACAAAATTTTGTGAATGAAGAATTTTCAAACTCTCTCCCATGATCGCTTCGAATTCTTCCAATATTGCTGAATTTTTCAATTCGCAATTTCTTGCACAGAGTTTTGAACTCATAAAAGGTATCTGACTTTTCCCTAATGAAGCGTACCCAAGTGAACCTTGAGAAATCATCAACACAAACTAGAACATACCTTTTTCCACCAATGCTCTCGGTTTGCATTGGTCCCATTAGATCCATGTGAATGAGTTCCAAGGTCCTGCTAGTCCCTGCATGATCTGTGTTCTTGTGAGATGTCCGTACTTGTTTTCCCAGAGGACAGTCACCACATGACTCAGGTGTGTCAGTCTTCAGTTGGGGTATCCCTTTCACGCAACCTGTATTAACAAGACGGATTAGATCATGAAAATTTAAATGACCTAGTTTATGATGCCAGAGATCAGTGAGATCAGAAGAAGTGTGATGACAATGATCCGATTTGTCAATCTGATCAATTTTGTAGCAATTGTCTGATGACCTGTATCCAGTTAGAACACAATTTTTGCTTTCATCAAATACTTCACACTTACGCTTTGTGAACAATACAGAGTCGTATAGATCACACAACTGACTTACACTCAGAAGATTTGATTTCAAACCTTCCACATACAGAACATTGTTCAAGTTTGGCAACCCTCCAACATTTAAGTCTCCTTTTCCCCTTACATAAGCCTTATTTCCATCTCCAAAAGTAACCTGTCCACTAGACATGTTATGCAGATTTGATAAGAAATTCCTTTCACCTGTCATGTGTTTGGAGCATCCACTGTCAAAATACCAAGAGTTAGTAGCACATGCATTTAAAGATAAAATAGCTGACCAGCAGTTAGTACTATCATTTGTCATCCTTTGTTTATGAGAGTTGTTACTTTGAGAGTAAGTAACCCACGCAGCGGATTTGGATGTCTGATATGCTAACTGTTTATTTATCAATTTCCATCTTTTAAAGCATTTAGGCCTAACATGCCCTATTTTGTGACAGAAGTGACAGATAGGAATAAACTTAGTAGGATAGGTTTGGTTGTTCACACAAGAAGATGTGGAATTGACAAATCTGATTTTTTGGTTTGACCCAGTGTTAGCATTAGATTGTCCATCAGTATACCCTAACCCAATTCTTTTGGAATTGGAAGGATGAGCATTTATGATTTCATCTAATCTATTAGAGGGAAGAAATGCAGTGCGATTTAACTTACTGACAGAGGCATCAAACACTGTGCTAACAGGCGGTGAAACATCTTGGTGATCATTAGCATGTACGTTTGGAAAAAGATTTTTCCTCACCCTTTTTGCTCTTTCACCATCATAGTCCTGCCAATATTTCAACAAATCCTTGGTGACTCTGAGGTGTCATCACTCCAAGTTGTGGCAAGTGATTTTCCTTGTTTTTTTAGTGTGTTAGCACATTCTGCTTGGATATGACCATAACCATGACATTCTCTACATCGAATTCCCTTCTTGACTTCTGGCTTATCTGTAGATGTCCTGGGTTTTCTCTCAGAGTTTGTAGGATGTCCATTTTTCTTGATGAATCTTCCGAAATTTTTTGCTATTAAGGACATGGATTTTGTGAGCTTGACTTCAAGTGCTGACATAAGAGCAGTAGGCACAGATGTTGTGGTGTCCGATACAGACTGCAGGGCGATTTTCCTTTCCTTGTCCATTCTGCTGATGTTCAACTTGTTTTCAAAAGTTTGTAGATTTCCAATCAGGTCCTCAAGTCGCAATGAGTCCACATCACTTGCTTCCTCTATGGCAGTGATCTTGTACGCGAATCTGTCTGGCATGGATCTAAGCACTTTTCGTACAAGTTTAACTTCAGGATAAGTTTCACCAAGGCCATGAGCTTCGTTTGATATGTCACATAATTTGGAGTTGAATTCGCTCACGGTCTCATTTTCTTCCATACGAAGATCCTCAAACCGGGTGGCAAGCATTT